GATGTGTTCCCCCAGGTTTACCATGCGGTAAACCTCCACTGGCCTACATTCTACACCTAATATATCTAAAACTTCTGTAACCTTAAATTCCACGTCCCGCTGCTTGCCGGAAGGCGTCTTCTCTTAATTTGACTCGGACAACCCTGAGATGACTAAACTCCGTCCCCTTTCATCTGCCTCCACAGCATCAACAAAGTATCAGGTAATTTGGCCACCAGAGCATTAATGAACTTGGCCATTACTGGATCTTTAATTTGTTCATTGCGCTCAATCATCGCACTCAGTATTTCACTGGTGACATCCCTGCAATTTCGTTATCAGTAGGACATTGATCTGAGACGGGATTGCTTGAGACATTCTTGCCACTGCCTGCCTGACGTGCGCGAGATCGATTTTGGATGGCTAGCCTATATAGAAGCAATCAATTCGAAAAAAAACTTCAAACTTATCTGGAACAGTGGATGTTGGACTTATAGATACCTTCTACTAGAACTTCCTTCCACTAGAAAAAATCTGGTAACAATATTGAGATGTTAGTGAAAGTCTTCATATCCTTTTGTTAAAGTGGTGAAGCATTTTTGCGTATCCACTATCGATGGCTTCCTCACTGACAAACATCACTGGACGCTTACTTCTAGCGCATTTGTGGTATCTCATCAGCTGTTATCACTTCCTACCATCCGCCAATGATTATCCCAACCCATCCTTACATCACTATCCAAAAAATGTCCCATCGTTGCTGTGGCCCGAGACATGAAGCTGGGTTCTCTCTCCTTCCACGCCTTTACGATATCTTACCAGCTGTTATCACTTCTTGCCCCCCCCTCCTATGTTGTTCCCAACCTACCCTCTATATCACCTACTGGAACCAACTATCGTTATTGCGGCCCAAGATATGAATCGGTGGCCCACTCTTTCTAACGCCTTTTATGGTATCTTATCAGCAGGGCACAGCATTAGTTGGGGATTTCGGTCGAACCCGTACGACCCCCCCCTTTTTTTTAAGGGGGGGGGGGCTCAGTACGCCCCCTTTTTCTACTGTTTGTTTTTCTTTTCGAGCTCGAGCTAGGCACCAGAGCTACTATGGGCGGCTCTAGTAGGTTGTAAGGATAGTGATTCCAACTCAAGTTTGGAGATACCTGTTAGATTTGGTGAAGCCGCCACTGCAATTACAGGATGTGAGTAGGGAGCGTGCTGATCCCCCCACTACAAAGTCGACCTGGGGCTATAAGCAGATGCGGACATTCCAAGATAATTGATGCAGGGTGTATACACATCAATTTGAAGAAATTCAGAGATGCGAAAAATGCGGAAGTGTGGAAAATGCAGAAATGACGAAAAGCATTACAATTTCCAATTTTTCAGCAATTCGCCATTTCTGCATTTTCCGCATTTCTGCATTTCTTCACCGTCGCAAGCTATGAACGCGGCCTAAATGATGTAGCATAACATAACGCAACCGAAAGCAGAAATAGCATAACATAACAGACAGCATAACAGAAAAAAAGAAAAGAAATGGAGCTATACCAGCCGATCAGCTGGAAAATGGTGAGGAATCGATTGGAAGGGATTCTGGGCCCCCCCCCCCTGTATACAGGGGAGGGGGGGGAGGGGGCAAAAAGTCACTTTGACCGAGTCACATATCAGCAAAGTTTTCGCAGCCCAGACAGAGGACGTGGATACGAGTACCAGGGCGGAAGATACCCAAGATGTTCCTCGATAAGCAGGAGCAGGCTCCTGCCCAAAATATGAAGTCGTCTCCAGTCGCAGCCTGACTGGAGAAGGCCTTTGGAATTCATGCCACCTCCGAACAGCTGCGAAATTTCTAGTGTGGAGTCACCATAGCTACCTGGAGACTAGTACTCTTGATTTGGAAGACCTCCAACATCGAGCAACTCCGACAACGTCGCTACGGAGTAGGACATCATCTTCACCGCAGTCGCCAAGGCGCGGGTTGATGGTATGGACCGGACGTACCTGGAATGGAAGACCAATATTTTCTTCGTGGACCCCGGACTGAAGGTGAGCGCTGGCGGTTACATCGAGCAACTCGAGAAGAATATCCTCCCCACATGTCGTCCCGTACCTTCTTGGAAACTTTGTACTGCTACAGCATTGGGTGCCACCACATGGAATCGAAGGGCGTTGGAAAAACTCTCGCCTACTTGGAATGGAAGGGCGTTGAGTACCTGAAGAAGATGGAATATCTAAGCAGGTCACCTGACCTAAACCTTCTCAATTACGGTTCGGGCGGAGCTCAACAGGGTGGTCTACAGTGGCGGAGAAATCAACGATCTCGCTGAACTCAGGCACCGAATCACGGTCGCGTGGCAGAATCTCTCGATGGCGCTCCTCCAGAAGGCTGTGGCGGAGTGTCATGATAGTATTTAATATGCTCTTCAATATGGTGGTAAAAATGTCCGATCAGAATTCAATAAAGTGTAACTTATAGCGCCTCGAAAGTCAATGAAGAAAAGTGACTTTTTTGCACCCCCCCCCCTGTACACTGTCTCTACGCGATTTTTTCATATTCAGCGATACGCCTAAAGCAGCTCCAATGAACGGTCCAACGTCTTCCTAGCCGAGCATGTAGTTTCTAGCTGATCGGCGAATACTTTTACTTTTCAGGCGAATACTCTTTTTTTAGAAAACGTCCTCAGTGCAATAAACCCACTAAATGAAACTCATTTCGTGACGTATCATATCGTACGATGCCTTGCGTTTACAAAATGCGCGCCGGAGAAAAATTGCGCCACAGTTCCGAGTCCTGAGTAGAATGAAATTATCAAGAGAAGTCCTCGCTTCAAGAAGCGTTCAAGGAACTCAACTCTTACAATGGAACTTGGTGCACCCAAGATGTGCCTTTGAGTTGAGTGTTTCACTGTCGTTTTCATGGGGATTAACCTTCAAAAACATTTGTTCACTACTACTACCAAAAAAAACCCTGGTGCTCTAACGGCAGGGTACAGCATCGTGATGTGAAACACATAGAGTGGGGAGAGGTTGTACTTTGCGGCTGGAGAAGTGGGGGAGTCGTATGTAGCTATGGGAGGGTATTGCTGGAGTGGAAAAAAATTTTTCCTGGTTGTTCGTGATTTTTTTTCTATTATCGAGACCCTCTCTTAGGTGGGGGGGGGTCGTAACTACACCAATATTTCACAAATAACGATGCAGTACCCTGTCTAACGGATGCCATGCGATTGGCGGAGGAGGGACAGCATGCGAGCGTTAAGGACACTCTCGCTAGTCCATTCATCTGAACCCACCTTGACGTCGACCAAACCAATGGGAGGGCCTGAGCAGAAACCAAGCATGATTGAGTTGAGACTGTCCCTTTATCCCACAAACCCTCGCTGCAACAACTCCGCTTAGGCGATCGATTTTTCTCTTTGGCGTTGAGGAGGGGTTGAGTGTCTCTCACCCCAAAAAGGCTTAAGCTCAGAGCACAGGCGACCAGAGAGAGTCCCGCAGGGAGATAGTCTCCACTGACCCTAAACCTTGACTACAGGAAGGGATACCCCAGCCACGTTAGCGCCTTCTTTATTCAATCCTTGAGTGTCTCGCTTAGTTTCAATCGTTTGATACTACGATGACTGAGATCATGAAGGCAGAAGTGAAACTTGTGAAACATACTGGTATCTTTCTAGTGCCTGACTGAGTAGTACGTGGGAGCAACTGAATCTCCACAGATGAGAGAGGTAATCTATCTAAATCGTCCTGTTCCATCGCCACTTTTTTTTGTGAGCTGACCTAATGAAACTCCTCGAGGGTAGGGTCTAATGAAACTTCAAAAACATGGTGGGTACTCGTAAATCAGGCGCTGCTAAGCTTGCTAATCGGGGAGGAGGGAAGCATTTTGCACTTCTGCCAGTTCAAATGGTTTTGACAACTGACTGGCTTCCCTTACAGTTTTCCACAGGTGGCCTGTATAAGCTTCCTCATGTTTTAACCATAAGACCCACCAAGTCTATCTGCGTCATATTTCATGTTAAAAAGCCATGAAACTCTTCGCCACGCTCTTCGCTTTTCCTCCATGACGACGGCACGATTATCCCAGGTTTCACTGCGCCACATCAGGGTTAAATCATTCCACGCGGAGAGAAAGTATATTTCTTACCCATATGATTGCCAAGTGACAAGAAAGGTTAACATTTATCGCCCCCGATATCAGGATCTAGTCGGATCGGGTAAAGCTCGCGCTGTAAAGTGCTCCCAAATGTTCTGTTTAGCTACCGCCGAATTGAGGTAGTCTCCCAGATCCCTCAGCTTGCCGTGGCTTAGACTTTCTGACAAATGAATCGCCTTCATTGATTGCTAGAAATCATCAATACGCGTGCCATCTGCGACAATCAGAATTCTTCGTTTCAAAACAACCAATCAATGTGGCAACACATGACCGCGGAATTATGGTTTTGTTCCCTCCATCGGGCTTTATGAAAACTATAGTGATCCTCTGCAAGTTGTAGGCAGTGTCCACGATTGCATTATGGGCGGAGTCAGGCCTGCGATTATGTGTACTTCACCTTTCGACAATACCCGAAGACGAAGGGGCTTCCATGAGCGATGTTTCAGTCAGGCCTCAAGCTTTCCAAATTTACGCGCTAATATGTTGGTATCGAATGGAGCGGCATCGTTGGACCTCAACGCCAACTCCTGAGCCTTGGGCTCCGCGAAATCTTATAAGTAACAGAATGGAATGTTGCACCGTGGGGTTTCCATGATTCCACTCAATTTCTGGCCCCCGTCACACCAAAAAAAAACAGTCCAACTCAGTTTCGTCCAGCTTTCCTTGATGGAACGCTGCTGCTTCCATTGACCGCGCTGCGACCGCGCGCACCGTGACCTGTAAATTGCATCGGCATTCGGGTGCCTATGAACAATTACTATTTTGATGAGGATGATGAGTTTTAGTCTGAATGTTCGCCTTTCCACCTCCTTCAAGCGAGAAGGTAAGAAAGTAAGCTCATGACATTATACCATAACCTTCAGCAAGAAAAGGTCCTCCAATGCCGTGCTCGATCGACTTTTGAATACCTCTTTACAGATATTATTACTGACGTGGTTGGTGGAAGTGGCTTTGGCCGCTGGGCCCGTCCCTCAAGGACCGATCGTCGCTGGTTCAGGAGTGAAATATAGCGGTGGAAATGCGGTCGGACCATATAGAGGAGGAGGTGGTGGTGGCCCACGCGTTGCTGGAGTTGCCGGAGTAGCTGTAGCTCCAGTCGGAGGAGGTGGAGGGTAAGACTGGCCGAAAGTGTCGAAATGTCTTATAGTGTCGAAATACTGCTGAGCACTAACTTTCTGCCATTTCAGATGTGTGGGCCCGTACCTGCGGTGGTGGACCTGACTTCAACCCAGTACTTCTACAAGGAGTTCGTGGCTATCCGGGCATTCGAGCTCGTCTCAATCAACGGGCCTTCCAATACGCCAGTGGACTGATCGCCACACTGCTCAATCAGGAAATCAGACGAGCACGAATTCCTCCAATTGTTCAAGCTCCTCCAGGCGGGGTAAGTCACACTAAACAGCCCCAGATAGCTGGCGAGTGCTGGCTTTGCACTAAAATCCTGCTCTTTGAAGAGCTAGAGTCGGTATTAGGAGGATTGCCAAACCACTATCTACCGCTGTTCTGCTCGCTTCACGGCTGGCTTGTCGCTTTCCCACTTTCTTTCTTGGCCAATATGGATTATATTGGATAGCACCCACATGTCACTTTTTCCACCTGCCAAAATCGGTCGAACCGATTTCGTCGTGATCACAAGCTTCCTCGGAAGTTTTGGCTGGAAATTAATCAAGGGTCGCATTGAACGGAATTGGTTTGCCGAAAAGAGGCAAACATCAACGACACCGTATCCGACCGTTTTAGCTCTGGGTAATGGAACAAAAGGAAAATGAGACCAGTCGCAAGGATTCCTGTGTATGCGAAAGAAACGCTAAGCCACAAAACGCCACACATGTTCTTTCATATGGAGGAAAGTTACATCGCTAACGTGTTCCGGACGAGGGCGTGTAAGGCTTCTCCATGGCACTTCTCTATTCCTCACCACGAGACACGTTGGTGCTGACGGGTTCAAGTCCCGGTCAAGATCTGACTTTTGTCATAACTCTGCACCCTTGTGATAAATTCTCTTCCCCTAACCATGCCTTAGATTGCTGGAGTCGCTCAGGAACCGTTTGCTCTGCCCGAGTAGCCCGCGGTGACCCTAACCGTCTGCGCTCTCAGCCTGCGTCTTGCTCAGTGGTTGTGGTGGGGGGGGGGGGGGAAGAGAGCAGAGAATAAAGGAACTTAGAAGCGCTGTGGAGTGCTCCATCCCTCCAAACAAGTTGACACCGATTTTTTTAGCCCAATGGTGTACGAAAACGCAGAACGGCGGCTTACCGCTGCATGGAGTGGCCGGTGTGGTGTAGGGTTGGGGCAATTCATGCAAAGTTAGCGTTTACTCCATGCGAGTCTCGAAGCAGTTCCTCGACTCTACATGGAATGGCAGGCCTGGCCAAATTGGGCCTTTGAATAAACCGTAAATTGTTGCCCTTACTATCTAGGTTGTCCGGAAAGTTCTCAGCGTTTTGTGTTACTTTTTTTGTACATTCATTGCTGATTAAAACTCATTCTCCCTTGCGTCTCAGTAGTACATCCTGAAGAGAATTCTTTGCGCTATCTGATGGTATAATTGCCGTTTCACCATTGCTTGATAAACCCCCTTTTCCCAAGACTTTTTGAAGCATGTCAAAAGAGCAACTTCGGACGATATTTTTCTTCAACTACAAATTGGGTCAATCCGCAGTCGAGACAGCTCGACAAATTAACCAGGCGTTTGTGGAGGCTGACCCATCCCCACAGTTCGAGAGATTGCAGAAAAGCTAGGCGTTGGCAAATCCACTATTGCGGATGGTCTGAAACGCATGAGGAAGGTGAAAAAAGCAAGTGGGTGCCCCACAATTTGAGTGACCGGCAGAAATTGGCACGTCTCGAGGTTTCTTCTTCACTGCTTTTGCGCAACAGAAACGACCCGTTTTTGGACCGAAATCGTCACCTATGATGAAAAGGAGATCATGTATCATAACAGGAGACGTTTCGGACAGTGGTTGAATGCCGACGAACCACCTAGGGAATTTCCAAGGCCGAATCCTCACGAAAAAAAAGATTATGGTCACAGTGTGGTGGTCATCGACTGGTGTGATCTATTATAGCTTTTTGTCACTAGGCCAAACCATCACAGCAGAGTTCTATTGTGAGGAAACGCGAAGAAAATGTACAGAAAATTGCGTCATGCTGCCAGCCAGCACGTTGCACAGAAAGGGTCCGATTCTTTTGCATAACAACGCCCGCCTACACGTTTCACAAATCACCACTACCCATAAATTGAACGAATTGTGGGTTGAAGTTCTACCTCACATACTCTCTAGACCTCTTCACCAACCGACTATCACCTTTTCAAACATTTTCAGAACTTCCTTGCTGGAAAATACTTCATCAATCAGGACCAGGCAAAAAAGCCTTCGTGGATTCTCGACACCCGGTTGTTTTCTTTGATGGGATTTATCGATTGCTGTCACATTGGCAAAAGTGTGCTGATTCGAACGGTGCTTATTTCGATTAAATCCGATGAGTATTAAGAAAGTTATGATCGTTTGAAGTGAAACACTCAAAACGCTGAGAACTTTCCGGACAACCTAATAGATGCTAATCCAGCCGCGGCCCTTTCCAGCAATTCTCAACAAATGCGTCTTTAATCGTTAATAGGGGGTCGTACTTTTAATGCAATTACTGTCTCTCCTGTGAAACACAGGCTCCCCTCCCCCTTTCTGCTCCCCGCCCCCCTCTTCCTGAGATCTCATAAGGAAAGCACAGGCAAGGGAAAGGAATAGATGAAGTTGGACGTTGACGGTAGAAGTGGTACTTACACACAGAAGTTCTCGTCGAGTGTGCTGGTCTCGACCAGGGTACAGTGCCGAGAAGTTTCAAATGGTTGTATCCACACAAACCCTCCAACACATCTGCCCTTCCTCCCAAACTTTCTACCCTGGTGTGACTCACTCTTCCCCATACCATCAGCTACCATAACAACTATCACTAATGGTTGTATGGTAGTTTTGCGTGCCGCCAACCAAGGTAGGTACCGAAACGGCGAAAGTTGGAAAAAGTCAACAACTGGGGGAAATAATCGTGGCTCGTAACGGTTCCTATCAAGACCAAATACGACCGCTAACTACAGCGATCATAGTTTCACCCCACCGATGGGGTTCTTTCAACGATCTGTTTCAGGTCCCAACTCCATTTTAGCCCTAGCGTCGCTCTACGTCAGGGACCTTTCCACTGTTTCTCTGGTCGTTGAACCTGCTCAAGGGGCGACAGGGTGTGTGACAAGACAATCGTAATATGCCAGCCGGTGGGCGCTGCGAACGACTCGCCTCGATAGAGGTGTTCTCCCGTGCAGATATCTGAAAATGAGTGCCGACGGGATGACAATATTGTTCCTTATGGAGTGTTTTCGTGCCGCACAATGCGCTGCGCGTGACGACGCGACAGCTTACGATTGTCCTGTCCACCTCCCACCCTCCCAGAAGAGAGATGGACAGCAATTAAAGGCAGTTGGCACGATAAATCGCTATACAGATGTAGGATTTATACGACTGGCTTAACAGAATTCCGTGACCTCGGACAGGCGCTCCGTGGCGCCTTTTCCAAGGAGGGTACCCCTATAACGCCCTATCGAGCAACAACATTCCGTCCCAAACGCCTTCCTCGCCCGCCCGCCCACAAACGGACGACCGTTCCTGACGCTCGTATTCATTCATTTGCTGAGCAAATTATGAAGCAAAGGGATTGGTATGAAGCGGCCGTGATGCTGCATGCATATATGGGTACACATATGCAGCCGTATCTTCGGTAGCGGTGATTGGTAAGATGCCTACGGGAAACTCGTCCGAAATCGATTTACAAGTCACTGAGAACGGAGGCTTTTTCTTCGCCGGATTTTGACCGTTTCACTCCGCCATTTTCCAGCTATAAAGCGCGCCACTAGCATTTTAGGCCGAGTGGTTACATTGTGCCAACTGCCTCTACGCACCGTAGCCATACTTGTAACTCAGGTAAACAGTGTTTGATTTCAGATAGGTGGCTGTATCATTGTCTACAACCTGTACGTTTCACGGTATCGTTGTCCTCAGAATGTCGCCGTTTATCCAGCTCCACCAAATCGAATCATTCTATCAGTCCAGAATTTCGACATCGGGTAAGTATCCTTGTTGCTGTGAAGTTGGGCCACAAATATTAAGAATTTGCAGAGTTACTGGTAATCTCGGAGGTCAAATAATTGTTCTGTTGCCAATTGGGCTCTTCCGGTTATCGTACAGGTTAACGGTCTTTCCAGGTGAGTTTCCTTAGGATATTTTTGCGCTTCCGAAGGTGTAGGTTCTGCTGCATGTGCGGGATGCTGGTGTCCGAAGGTGGTTGACGTGTACGGATCGCGCCGCCCGGCGCCTGTTTCCGTAAATGATGACCCTGAACCAAACATGAATCTAATCAAAACACGCGCGCTGCGCGGCATCGGCCACGAAGTGACTACGTATTAATCGAAATTCCTTGACATCGGCTTGCGTGGCCGCCATGTTCAACTTAACTGAAGGTGTCTTCTGGTGATTATTTTCATCTTTTACACAACACTGTCGTCGTCTCTGGCCAACACGAGACAACGTGATGACAGTCTGCTACAAACTGAATGACTCCATCGAGTAACCAGTTCCATGCCATATTCAAATGCCACGCCTACTCTAGCTCAGGGATAAGGAGTGCAACTACTTTCCATCCCAACGGAACTGAAGTTCTACATGCTGCTGCCCTAACATACCTCGTCATCCGGGCCAGTTGATTCAGGGCGTACCGCGTCAACGAGGCTCGCCAGCCGCGCTGCCAGGAACAATTCTGCTTTCCAGGCTAATTTAGTCATTTTTCCCAACTTTTCACTAATTTGGCTACTTTTTCCAAGATTAGCAGCTCCTTATCTTCACAAGGTGGAAAAAATGACTAAATTAGCCTGGAAAAGCAATAGTTCCTGGCACGCGCTGCGGGCGCCCGCTTGACGACGCGCCCTAATCAACTGCCCGGATGGACGAGTATATCTTCTGTCTCCACAACGAACACACTCTTTAAAGCTGAGTCGCCAAGTATTGGCGTGTATCGATCCATTAACTAGACCGTGACGCAAACGCACCGCACGCACGAGACCTAATTTTTATGCAGTGAATATCATTTGCATTTACCTGGTCTTCCACCTCTGGAACTCTTCTGAATCAGGCGCTAAGTCGACCTTAACCTCCCTCCAGAGCAAATCATAGTGCGGTTGATGCAAAGAAAAAAAAATTGTGTTTCCAAGGTGTCTATCAACGTGGAAATCGCAATCGAACGTGGAATAAGTGGTCCATATGTCAGATTGCTGTCATGCAATCTACAATTGGATATGCTGATGTTTGCATCCAGAACGGAGGCCTCGTCGGTGACATCATCAACTCGGTATTCAGAGTAAGTTGACTAAGCGTTTTTCAGGTAATCCAAAAATGATTTATGCAGTAATAGTACCGGTAGACAATCATAGCCATCACAACTTCTTCGTTAGATCGCCACTTCTAGCAAAATTAAAGAGATGAGCGCATCGGGTTGTGAATCACCACCCACATTGCTAAATATGTCTCGAAGTAGTTATTGGTTGAATAAGTCAGTGAAGAGCGTAGTACACTGCTCATTATTGCAGACTGTCGGAGCCGGCGCGAGCGGCGCGGTTCGAGCCCGCGTCCGGCTGCCTTGCTCTACCAATGGCGATCGGGTAAAGATCGATTCAGGAAGAAATCAACCACTGGTGGGAAGCGTCCGAAGTGGGGAACCGCTGATTGCGACC